ATACCTTTTGGCGGATGGATATGGAACCTCATACCTTATAGTAAAATACGTTAAAATGGCGGCCATTTTTCAATTTTTTTTCCAAAATGGCCACCTTCTACCCAAAGTGTCATAGGACAGTGTGCCATGCTTATAGTATTCACATACCAAATATGAACAAATCGCTCCACTACTTTTTGAGTTATAGTAAAATACGTTAAAATGACGAGTAAAGGCTGCCATTTTTCAAGATGGCTGCCATGTGCTTCTTTAATATCTACATTTGTAGCATTATTAATGTCCTTTATAATTTTTTACATTTAAAACATATTGCTATTACAGTTTTACATATTGTACCTAAATTACTGTAAAATCGGCACTAAAATGGCCGCCATTTTGAAATGAGTGGCCATTTTGAAAATTGGCTTTCGAGCAGAACTTCTACTTTCATAGGGTATATGTGTACAAAATATGAACAAAATCGGGCCAACGGTATTTGAGTTATTGCCCGGACGGACGGACGGACGTATGTACGGACGGACGGACGGAGGCGTTCCCTATATCCCTCCGAACTTCGTTCGATGGGATAACAAACAAACCATCTCAAAGTAATACCACTAAAAAATCGAACAATAAAATGTATAGTTGACTGGTCAAAAATCCTAACAAACAGCTCAATACACAAATATTAAACTCTTTTACTTAAAAGTAAATACAGAAAAACACTTGAAATTCAAATTACAAAGAAATAGATTTCAGAGGTGTTAAACGTACATACACCTTTTGTCAATGTTTCAACAATCAGAGACCTTGACACCTTTTGATAAATCAAACTAATTTTTCACAACCAACTTATTGTGTGGTCCTAAGTAAGATATGAGAACATTTCTCAACTTGGAAGAATAGAAGAAGATTGTATTTCCACTCTCTCATTTTCATCAGAAATGCTTACATTCTTTGGTGATGCACTGACAGACAGTAAGCCTGAGATTTTGATCATTTCGTTTGGTAAATACTTAGATGAGAAGTATGGTGATGTAACTCCAGTAATGCTACATATTTCTATGGTATTGCTTGCCAATTATGCAGATGGTAGAATGTTGTATACTCAGCCATGCATATCAAAAGTTTTGGCTTGATTTGAGGGATTCATACGCACAAATGCATGACATTGATCTTCAAGATGATAGTTTCATCACACTTAAACAAAAAATAAAAAAGTGATATCTTGTCAATGAAAACATCTTTTCTTAACTTCACATCATTTATTTTTGGAACTTTTGTACTAACTTTACTTCCGATCGACCAAAAGTTCAAATCTCTGGTATAATTGAAATGACAACAAATCCTGTTTATAAATTTCGACCAAATAACTGACAGGTAAAATTAGAGTAATATAAGGAGAACACAGGATTTAGATCATTGAATCATGTACAGGAAAACCTGTCTTAAAGAAACACAACCGGGACTACCTAAGAGTGTTCAGATTAGCAGGTGTTCACATTTCAAGGTTTCTTAAACATGAAGGTGAATATGAGGTGTGAAAATTGAGACTGAGAAAAAGTGTTCATATTGAGAGGTGTTCAGATTATACAGGTGTTCAGATTATTAAGATATTTGGATATCCAGGTTTAACTGTATAGTGTATTTATAAAAAAAACATTGGAATGTTCCAAACCACAAGATCGAGAGACTTGCTGAAGTATGTGAAGACAAGATGTCTTGTAAATGTGTAACTCAAGTCAGTGATGAATAGAGGGATAACATGCCATTCAGTGTTTATGAATCATTTAAAACATCAATTCAACATCAACTTCATTTTGTAGGCACATACACAGAGATTGTACAAAGAAGTGAATAAAATGCCAGTTTAGCAAAAATATAATAAAATGCCAGTGTGATCCAATGTACAAATTATCATAAACCATGTTCAGTTTACTTACATACAGAATTCAGTTCTGATGCCACAGATGTCACAAATAATTTGATAGTCCCCCAAAAATGACCATCTATATCAATGAAAAAAACAATGGAATTAAGTAGAAATGGTAAGAAGTGAACTTGTTTTACAGTATCAAAGCATGGATGTACGAGATTATGAATTCAATGAAGTATGTCTTTAGTTCCCAATGGATTAGTCAAAGTTCTTCAATATTCAACTATAATGCCACTCAATGATTTAATGTCAAAAAGTCCTCATTTGTAATTTAGAGATAATGTTTCATGGATATTGGTTTTGATTAAAATACTGAGAGCATATTTTCCCGTCTTACCAGGAAGTCAGTATGTGCCGAGCATGCAAAATTTACAGGAATAATTTCCACCCATACCTTTATCGCGCTATTGGTTCTAAAATCTTGAAGCATTTTTTGTTGTAACGTTGAAACATGATCATCAGTTGACATTTCTGCCAGTCAAGGTAATGAGTATTGGAGAACCACAAGACAAAAGCTCTCATAAATAATTGAAATTGCTTTTAGTAAAAACCAATGTTTAATTTGAACTTCTACAAAAGATTTAATTTTCATTTCTAAAACAAACGGATAAAGATATATCACAAACATTAGGCCATGCTCGTCAAACCTGACCATTCTGGCAATTTTAGTAGACTACAAAAGTAACTTAAAATGATGAAAAAATTAATTGAAAATGTTTTCAAAGGTACAAGCAATAAAAGTGTCATTCTCTATTCCAAGTTTACATGAACGAGCAAAGATCTTTTCTCCAAATGAAATCAGTAAGAAAAGCTTTCATGAGGATAACTTACATATGTCATGCAAAACGTGTTATTTTATGATTCACAAAAACCTCACATAATGATGAAAAATATACAAATTACCTCTGTTTGAATGGGATAATATAAACACTATAAAGTATTAATAATATAAGATTTTTATAAAAACAAAATTTGCTTTCACTAAATCAGCCTCAAAACAGTAATTAAGTCTTCTCTTTTGTCAGAGACTAAATAGAAAGCAGAGAGATATAAGACAAATATGGCAAAATCACTTATGGAAACACCTATTATTTCAACTCTTTTTTTAAGCTACAATTTATTTTCTTCTGTTGACACTCATAGAGATGAGGTCCAAGTAAGATTAACTGTAGGTAAACTGTCTAAATTATAGACCTCTACAGTAATCCTCAGTTCCACTGTTGGCAGTACATATATGGGAAATCCAAAGTGTGCCGATTGGATCTTTTGGCATTGGGCCATTTAAGCTTGTAAGTTCCATACCTCAACATAACACGAACTTCCCCAATTAGCTATCAGATCGCCATTAAATAACATCATAATCACATATTTCTATAATAGCAGTGCAATAAACAACAACAGGCATGATATTTGGGCAATATGGTATATGGGAACTTTAAAACTAGACAATTCTTATCCAAAGAATACCCAATCTACATATTTAAAACATGCTCATGGAATTGAATGAAAATATGTGCTTATTTCCAAACTAAAAATTGAATAGTCCTTTTACTCTTTATGTGCAGTACTTTTCTGAGAGCACATTAGTAATTTGGACATACTGAACAAAAAAGCAATTAGCAGATTTAACCTTATCACTTAGTGCACATATTACCAGGACATATTAAACCCAAGTTATGACCACTTGTTGTTGTGCTCACTTTGAATGATGTTTTGAAGGAGATTTTTCTGTATATGACATCAAAGCAAGATTAATGGTATCCTGTTTTTCCCCATTAATGCATTTGCTATTACATGATCGATCAACAGAGATGCTCCTAGAAGTGATAAGCATTGTTATATGTAGCTTTATTGCGATTAAAAATTATACTCTAAAATGGATTTTCAGCCACTTACTGCTGAAACTTGATCTCTTCAATAAAACTCATTACAAAATTTAAGTATCATGGTTTGATGTAAATTTGATGGAAAAAACTAATTCAGGAAACCACATTTGAAATATATGCAGGCTATGTAAGAAATATCCTGCGGTAATATTCTGAGTTCTATCACACTTATAGCCTGCTTAGATGATATTTTATCAAAACAAAATCTACTGCAACTCAAAGCAGAGAAACATCATTAATGGATGGGAAATCTGTTAGGGGAATTGAGGCATATGTTTTATATTCTAGAAATCATTCATATCAAGCTCTGGTTATCTCTTGTAAAAATATACTGTTGCTCCTGGTAGATTTTTACTTTAAGTTTCCAAAAAGATACATTTGATGAATTGAAAGCTGGAATATACAGTAGAAATCAGTAATCATACACAGGATGCAAAATTGAATATGTAGATCCAATGTAGTGTAATGATAAGTTTTGTTACTGAAAATTTTTATTTTTTTAAATCCCAGGCTTTGGATATTGAAATACATGTGTTGATTGCATCCAGTCTCATTGCTCACAATGGGCAATATCTGACTGGAAAAGAGCAAATCACCATGTAGCACATAGCACAAATGTTTTATGAATTCCTGGAAAGGGCCTATTGCCAATTTTATAATTGAAAGCTGGTATCAAACTGCAGTATTTCAAAATAGGGAAGATGTGCCCCAGGGACCCCACAGGACACTAGAGCTTATGGTAAGTTAATGAAGTGACCATGTATAATCTAAGGTTTAGTCTCATGAGCCCAATCAAGCATACCCACTTGAGGTACTTATTACAATCTTACCTTACCTCTTAATGAGCAATACAGTTAATATGTCCACTAATTGCTAAGTTCTCCAATTGCTACAGTTATATATTCTCAACATGACACACTACGGGTGCACAGTGATATAATCACTAGAAGCTGCAGTGGACAAGGGAATTACATCAAATGGGTTTAAAACACTTGATTTAATTAGTGGCAAACAGAAAAAATGATCTCAAAATTGCTCAGTACAAGAAAAGAGAAAACTTAACCAATCTAAAACCATCATACTCCTTACATTTAAACACTGGACCTCTCCAAAGAGACACAGAAACATGAATACCCAATGACCAAATACAAGTTGACCCAAATTTGGTCCGTTAACTTTAAATAAACGTTTGTACTCACCGAGTTTGCCATATCCAGCATACTGGTTGTACCAACATCTTCAGGGGATGAGACGAATCTCTGGAATATTTCTGGTTCGTGATGCTGCATCAACTTATAAAGACTGTTTGGCTCATGGGTAAGGTCCTGTGCACCACTGTCATAGTCAAGACTCTCTGGACGTGCTGGAAATGGCAGATAATACAAATGTGTGTTATAGAAAGTAACAAGCAATTACAAACAGAATTGATTAAATTTAAGTTGTAGAAGTGGTACCTCAGTTTGAGAGATACTTTTATCAGTTGCTTTCGACTGGTAGAAAACAGAAAGATGTATTGTATCTCAGCCTCAAAGAAATACATTTATTTATACAATATATCTTTTATCCATTTATTCAAATGTAAAAATATACTGTATAGTACATCGACACTCTAATAGGAAAGAATACAAAAAGTGCTCAAAAGATCATCTTTTTATCCCCTATCTAATGATTAATGATTGAATCTTAGAATGAATATGTTGAATTAGTGTATATTATATATATCCTACTTATTTATGTCTCTCATTTAACAAGAAAAGTTACAGGTTACTCTAAAGCTATTCACAAAGCTGGCTTTAATCCGGTTAGCATTCCAAATGATTAATTTCATGATGTCATTACCCTCCCAGATGGACTGATTCAAACAATAAAATGAAAATGAAATATAGTTGTGGTAAAACAAAAAGTGACGATGACTTAGATATACTTATATTCCATTTTCTGTCATTTACTCTATTATGGATTTATTTCGAGGATGTAATTTAGCTGGTATAACTGAACCTCTACAAGCAGGCACAAATATTTACATATTCACTGTCTAACATGACAGAATATCTAAATTATCGACAATATCCTCGTCATTTTGCTTGCATTAAAGTTGAGCATTTAACATGAGCTTGAATTTCAGATATGATCCAATACCATTGATGAGTATACAAACAAATTGCTACTGATGGCTGTATTGATTAGCCATGTAAACACTTCAGAATGTGTTCAACTTCTAGGACTTTCAATTTTAAGCATTAGTAAGAGGAAACATACAATTGTATATTGAATTTTATTCCGTCTCCCAGTGTGCTGTGGTATACAAACTCCATGTTTGAAGCTTAAAGTCAATTTGTTTCTGGTATGAGAATTGAAAAGGAAATCATCTTAGAGAAGAGATAGCTGTAGGCATTTAGTATTCTCAATAGTATTCTCAATAGGGGCATAATGAAGCAATTTGAATCGAACCAAAAGACAACCAATAAAAACAATACCAAGTGACCTTAAATATAACTTGAAAAATCATATTCTTTTTTCAGTTAATTCAATTCAGAGTTAGAACTTGTTATAATTTTTTATCTAAATACCAAAGTATAATTTTCCATGGTTAATTTTCATTCTATCCTGCTCAAAGAATAAAATTGATCTATGGGTGAAATATAAGTCTATGAGGGCCAATAAAATAATTGATGGAGCGATTACTTTGATGTATACTGACCAGGAAGTTGACTGTGTAAGATTGAATATTCAATCATTGAAGAGAAATTACAAATATTGTACTGACGTTAAAAATAGACTGACTAAAGATTCAAATAAACAATGACGAGAAAATCTCCATACTTAAACTGTTATCACTGCCTGCTTGCCAGACCCGGGGTGATTCTGTTCGATTATTTTCTGCCTCATGATTGGCTCTAACTGGTTCTTGCCAGACCCGGGGCGATTCTGTACGAAAATTTTCTGCCTCATGATTGGCTCTAACTGGTTCTTGCCATACCCGCGGCGATTCTGTTCGAGTATTTTCTGCTTCATGATTGGCTCTCACTGGAGGCCATTGTAACTTTCTCCTAACAGGGGGCTCTATACCTTCCAAGTCTCTGTCTAAATCTGCCTCAAATTTATCACAATAAGCATCAGAGTCATCTTCATTTGCTGGGCCTAGCTGTAGCCGACAGTTCATAAATCGTTGAAATGACACTTTTGAGTTATTCTCCATTCCTAACTGCTCAGATATTTCTGTATAGACATCCTCCATGTTTAAACGACGGCACAATTGAAGTAAGTCACTGCTGCAAAACAAAACAGATCCGATCAATATAAATGTTTGCAAACATTAATTACGTTTGGAAATACAACTCATTTGCGTGTGTCCCAACCAAGCCATCAGTCGTAATGTTGTAATCTCAATAGCAAATACTTCTGAATCAAAATAGACTTTGATGTAATCCATTTCTAATATATTTAATGCATTCTTATTATTGGGTTCAAGCCCTACCTGGATTTGAAGGCAAGTTCAATAAGAAATGGTTTTATAACAGAAGCTTGAAGATAAGTTGTGAAAATAGCAAATAGTTTTATTCCCAGGAGAATCACTATTTTGATAGCATCATTAATATTACAGTAACTGTATATTTTTTATGATGCGAAACTAAGTTCCCACAAGCAAAATGAGACAAGTTTTATTTAGTTTCCTAATTCCAATGTTCAAGTTCAGAGAAACTCTGCTATTTCTAGCACCTTTAACCTTTCATGATATCCTGCCACAATAATCTGCTGTGAAAATCTAATCAGATTAGCACTCAAGGGAATCTTAGCTAGATTAATTGGTGCATTTTCTCAGATTTCTGCAAGAATACCTGATTTAAAGGTATACCTTTCTGAAGCATGTGTTGAAGGGTGGAAACTGCAACAGAAAATCAAATATCAATCCCGTCACATTATTTCATGCTATTTCTCTCCAAATCTTCAAGAAATTTAAAATATCTTAACATTATTCAAAAGTATAGAATGGTTGATTTTCTTGATTTTCTATATTTTAACTCTATGATTGAACTTTAAGGCTTTATTTTGAGTTTTAAATGCAACTGGTGTGATATATCATTCACAGGCAGAAACTCACCACCCCTTGCTGCATCAATCAGGCAAACCCTAACGTATCCCCAATTACAAATATCATTTTATATATGTATTCAGTTAAATCTAAAACTTTCCTCATTTATTTTAATGTTTTCATTCACACATTTTGAGTTTTAAATGCAACTGGTTTGATATATCATTCACAGGCAGAAACTCACCACCCCTTGCTGCATCAATCAGGCAAACCCTAACGTATCCCCAATTACAAATATCATTTTATATATGTATTCAGTTAAATCTAAAACTTTCCTCATTTATTTTAATGTTTTCATTCACACATGCATTCTTATGTTCATATTTTCTTAAACTCAAACGTGTCTCCCATTTATCCCATAAGAATCTAATGATTATTCAGCTTTGTTCCAGTTAGGGACCAATATTTGTTTGGTTGACTCAAAGCCTCTGTTGTTGAAATCGAGAAAAATTGATGAATTACATCACATGCTTCGCTGAATAATTTATATAAAATATTGATGCTGATATGATTCATAATTATATCACCGTTAAATTAATTGAAAAATTATATACCTGGGGGATAATCAATATTTCTAAAAGAGCACTTGGCTTTTCTATCAATAAAATCAATTCAATACCTCTTGTGAATATTGAAGTTAAAGCGCTAGAGCATTATGTGCCAAAACAAAGGGGGAAATAGGGTTTATAGAATACTTTAATAAGAGTTTGATAATACTTTTAGAGAATTCATTTTTTCATTTTTTGAAATACTGACATTAGGTCATATTCTTTATCAAGTTTGGCCACATAAGCTACACTTTGACATATTACCATTAAGGCATATTAGTAATCTTGCTAAACACCTGATCTTTTATCAGCACACCTCAGCCAAAAACAAAGATGAACATCATATGTTGTATTCCTTTCCAAAAGTTCAATTTTGCTTATTAAAAGAGAGTTCCATCTCCAGTATACTAGGCTCTGATACTCAAGGTACATCTGTTTATATTGAAAATTTCTAATACCATAAAGTGAGAGAATTACAGGGAGTTGTCTATAATTCATTCATGGAGATGAATGTCACTTCAGAAGGCCACGCCTGATTACACATATTTCATTTGCTTTTGCGGCAAGAATAATATTTTGCAAACATCTTCCTGTCAATGTAACAAAGCCTAAATAGTGACTCAGAAACAGATTTAGCAAAAATGTAAAAATGATTGCTTCTGTATTGTTTTCAGTATATTCTACTGGAAATATGATACCTATTTGGCAGTATGGTGATTTATTGTTGAAGCACCCTGTATAAACAGTCTTAGACAGTAAGTATGCCACTACATAGTCACAACTGTCTGTATGTCTCAATGTCACCCTGAATGTTAGATTACATACATATGAGTTGTTCCATGGGTTGAAAGGAATGTACTCAAAGCTGTGTTTATGCAGTGATTCTTAGACAATTGGGTGGAGGCTCGTCTTGGGTTTCCAAGGTATGATGTTTTGATTCCAACAATTTCAAGATTATCTCTGAACAGATTTTCAATGATCATAATGACCTGTAATTTTAAACTAGACACCCTCCCATTATTTCTACCTTAAAAAAATTAGAGAGAGGAAGTTAAAGGTAAGTTCTGGATGCAAATTCAATCCTAAGTATGCAATAAAACTTACCAGTATCCCGCCATTTCAGCTAAAATGTTAATCTCTGTCTGTGTATTAACAATTATATTCCCAGGTAATTAAGACTATTTCAAAAGAATATCTCAATTACTTTTCCAACAGATTTCAACATGATAAATGAGCCAATTCCCTCATTGGAACACTGTCCACCTCCCCATTGTTTCCCATGCCTAGTTATATATTTGACCTTTGAGAAGAGACTAGCATATTGCTAATTAATGTACCTCATTCTGATAATTTGACAAAAAATAATTAGTAACACTCAGCATTCATAGACAATTGACATTTAGATTATTTGACTAATTATCACAATGTCATGACATTTAATGATCATTAAAAAACCACAAGAGGTAACACTAGATTATAACAAAAATATTTTTTTTACAATTAGTAAATAATTATATCTACCCTGCATGAAAATTTGTTCTTAGTGACAGCCATATAAAATACAATGAACTCCAGACTTGCCAATTAAACAGAAAATATAGAATAACACATTTATTGGTAAAGTTGTCCTCATATCAAGATAACATAGTTCAACTTAGATTTAAATTGAACTTGTATGTTATAAATTCATGTGATAAGAAAAACAGGACATTCCAAAATGTCCTAGATTGGCTTAACGTGACTTGGTGTCAGGTGATATGGTGTCGGGTGTTATTTTAACTGTTAAACTAACTGCTCCCAATTGATTATCTGAATATCTATTTTTTCATGTGTACCAGTAAATACAGTAAGACTGAACTCCTTTTAACATGAACACTCGTTGGTCCCATTATTAAAAATCTTCCATATAAACTTCCATGTTAAAAAACCTGAACAACTTCTAATTTGAACACTTATGGCCAGTGGCAATTACTCCTGCAGTGACAGTTTCTTGGTGCCCTTTCTGTTCATCCTTAATTCTCTATAATAATAATCCATCATTAACAGAAATCAATAGTTAACCGAGCATTGGTCTATAATTTATCTTAAGTCTTGACAAGTTTATAAAAAACACCACTCCTATTTATCTTTTTTATCTTTATTTATTTTTCAAGATACCATCACATTATTATCATCAGTAAAATATATTTTGCTATCCTCCATAATCCATCATTGACAGAAATCAATAGTTAACCTAAATATCACATGCATATTGCTCCATAACTTTTATCTTAAGTCTTGACAAGTTTATAAAACACCACTTACATAAAAAGGTGTGAATGGCTCTCCTAATCCTAATCATAATCTACACAAATGTAAAGCCAAACCTCTTGTATTTCAAGACCTCAGGTTCTGGCAAACAAGAGCACTTCAAGTCTGAGAATGATCTAACTTACACACAGCTGCTGACAAAGACAGCATTCCTTTTTAAGTCACTTCCTTCACAAATCCTCTCAGCAGTCATGCTTTGGTGACACACAGAGGGGAAATGGGAGATAAAAACAAGGAATTATTATCATAGGCCTTGAGTATGGATTCTCAATTGCATGTAAGAGTATAGAAATACAATATTTACGTACATCTTTTGTAGGAGATAATACAGATTCAGAGAGAAAATTCTGGAAGGGATCTGTAAATATATGTTCACTTTCTTCAAATAATTCTTGTGACAATCAGATTAAAAGAACATGGCACAAAAACTAAAGTTGAATTTGATATGTTTGTTTAATGGTCTTTTTCTCAACTCTGAAGAGGTTTTATTCATTTTTTAAAAACATTTTTCAGTGTATTATCATAAGCTTGAATAGTTAATATTTGCATATTTTATACATTTTGCAATTTGATACAATGACAATTTCACCATTAGAAATTGTATATTTGCTTTGTTGTAAATGTTAATTACCAAAGGTTTATAATTGCAAAAATGCCAGAATAGGAAAATGCATTAAACAAAAGTATTAGCCAGAGTAAACAAAGGTATAATATTTTTTTTACAAATCTATAGCTGGGTCGTTTTCAATTTCTGCCAGTCTGTCTGCAAGGTGAGCGAGACACATGCTGAACACATGCGTTTTCAAAGAATGTTTTAAAGTGATTTTCAAGGCAAAAGTGAACAATCCTCACATATCGAATGTGAACATCTCTTACAAATCTCTCTCTCTCTCTGGTGAATTTATTTAAATCAAGTACCTCTAATAATAATAAAAAAATATGGTATAATAAAAAATATAATACAAATACAAAAAATGTAATTTCAATTTTCAGTTCACATTTCTTAAAGTGTCTGTTCGATGCTAATGGGGTCAAAATACAGTTTATACAAGTTCTAAATGAAGTTAATACCGCTAACATGTCAAACCAGGTATCGTTCTTGTAAATATTTTTATAAATGTGAAATTTAATGTTCAAAATCGGGAACACAATGTCAAATGCCAATCATGACATCACGAACAGAACGGGTTTTGAATATGTTGTTGGAGTTCATAATCTCCGAACGTGCTTATAAAGTGTTAGTGTAATTGATTGCAACTGCATTCAATGAAGTGAGGTATCGATTCAGAGATGACTACTTTGGAGCTACGTTTTTTCCTTCGATAAACAAAAAAAAAATAATACCTAAATTAGAGCTTCCGACCCAGCGGTGTGTTTTCACATAGCTAGTCATGCAGAATTACTTTCTGGCCAGTCAGAACACAATATAGAAAATAAACACGCTCAGTTGATAGTAATACATAACTCAAGCTGTCTAAAATCTTGTAACCAAAAGGCATTGAACCATGAGGTGATTTCGGTAAGCGTTACTCCTTTCTGGCCAATCAGAACACAGTATAACGTGAACACTTTTGAATTTACATTCGAGTTGCATAACGCATTGCCATTAAAAATCCATAACCGATTCTGTTCGTGACGTCATGTTTTTCCCCGGGAAATCTTATTTCACCACTAATGAACAAACGGAATGAGTTGAGAGTCTGTTGGAATACTATTTTTACTTACCAATATCTGTTTAATCTATTGTAATGAGAAAAATAAACAGAAATTTCCAAATTAGCACTTTAAATAATTACTTAGATGCACTGGGACTGACCTTATATGGAACAATCAATTGCTTTTACAGGCCAGTTGATGTCAGGTAATGATTGCTTTGGAAAGTTCTCAAATGCATGAGTTCAATACCAGGGCAAAACCTTGACAAACTGATACATAAGAGTTATCAAGGTTGAATCCTGCATCAAATCTAATTTTCTATATGTTGTCACGTTGCCAGATTTGCACTTTCCCTACCATACCATACTATACCATACTGTCAGTACTGTACCCTACCAAACCAAACCACACCATACCATACTACACTATACTATCTATTCATAGTCAGTGATCTCCCTAGCATTAAAGCAAGTAGGTGCAGCACCCACCTGAGATTTCAGAAAAAATAGGCTTGTACTCACCTGAAAATCCATTTGCACCCACTTGAAAATGAGAAAAATCATGAAAAATTGGGATATTTTGACCAATTGTGGTCTAAATTGTGAAAATGAGAATACAAGGGTAGGAGAGGTGGGATGGGGAACATGGACATGATAACAGACAAATGAAATTTACCTTTAGTCTATTTGCACATTTACTACTTCCCCAGGTAATTGATAGTAATAATTACATATACTTTACTTTGTCAGCACCTTTACATTAATTACCTACTAATTACAAAGAGTCAAACACTTTGATGATGAGCTCTATGTGCTAGCAAGCCCAGTAGGCCAACAATTTAGAATAGTAAAATTATATATACAGTAAATATAACAGGGATGTTACAATTTCTAATTGATGAAATATGATACTGTTTAATAACAGGGGCTGCGATCGACAAAAACATTTGGGCTTTCAGTCAGGGGGGGGGGGGGGTGTGATTGTGGCATAAACAGCATAAAAGCAATACAATCTATATAGGAATATGTAGGCTGTCAACAAAACATTCCTTACTTCAGAAGTGTATAATTGTCAGAGGGAAGCTTCTTTACTAGATAATCAGGGTAACATTTACGAACTTTTGAAACATTTCAGTTCTATGTGCAATATTGCATTTCTAATGTGATATCAACATTAATTTCAATTGCATTCTTCTAAAATCAATATGTGCACAGTCTGCTTGAGCAATGATAACAATTTACAAATTAATCATTTATTTATAAGATGTATTTGATCTAATTTCCCCATTATCAAATTACATCACCAATAATACAACTAATAGTATATAAACATTCAACATTTCCTATACCAGATGCTAAGGAAATACTTGATAAATTATCCAATAAATTTTACTTTGGTCTCGGCAGAATACAAGACTATACTATTACATCTATACCTTCAGGCCCAAATAAAGAATATTATATATTTAGAAGTATAAACATGAGTTTAAAGTACAAATGTACCAGTATTTAAGTCAATGGTTCTCACCTCTATAAATCACTCATAATTATAAAATGGCTCCATGCCTTTTCTAATTGCTCCTTGTTTTCAAAAATATACAAAGTTCCATCAGACTTAGTTCTGTTTTATTTTTGTCTTTGTAATTCCTTATATAGCCCTATTTCATTGATGTGAAAGTCATATTTTGGTTCATACTTTCAAACTTAATCGTAATTATACATTGCCAAATAGGAGGGTTATTTGTAATGACATGTGATTTTCATAACTAGGGTGGCATAGTCACTCATTGTGCTTTATGGACCACCCTGTGAAGGTTACTTCAGGCAGAAAATGATTTTGTGTACAAATTACTTTTCAACTGGATGAGATAATATGCAATGAATAATGGTTTGTTGAAAAAATATAAACATCTGAAAGCCTTTACAAACTGAACAAATTTCATGTCACTTTCATTTTTGTTTACTTTATATGATATCATAGAGTAATGAATCACTTGAAGTAGGATGTCACTCAGATGTTATTATACTGAATGAATTTGCAAAAGTGAAGACTATTTCTGGGGTTATCATCAGATTTAGTTTTTCAATTTAGATTTAGACTTGTTCAGTAGAGTTCATTCCAACCTGACCTAGTGGCTTCATATTTAAGCTTTAAGATCAGACTAATGCAAATCCTCAAGAATTCTTCAATTGGGGCAACATCTGCCTTTATTTATAAGCCAGTATTTGTAATGTTTTCTATGGTTTATGCACAAGACTGTCATCTACTGATTCTATTCTCTACTACAGACTTGAACCTTCTGCATGAAGAGTGCACATTTTACACAAAACTAGTTCAAATGAAAAACACCCTTTGTGTTAGGCAACTTTTGATAAAAATGTTTTTTGGCACTTCAACAAAATCAATATCAACTTTGCTGGAAAAAGCAAGAAAGGAACCCAGGGCAACTGGGTTAACAGCCTGGGGTATGATGGAATGATTTTTAAATTCTTAGAAAACCATTGTAATTGTATGAACAATAACTATGGTTACTATATTGGTTTCAGAATTGACCTCTAAATGAAATAAGGAGGGGAATTTTCTCGCACTCTGAATGAAATGTTTCAGAAGA